GACGGATTGTGACGTCCAAGTCTCTTCTAATGGGTGTTGCTGGAATTATACCCCTTAATTCTTTGCTGTTGTTTCCAACCAGATCATCGTCTGGCTGGTCGCAGCTTACCCAGGTATCGTCCTCCAGTAAGTCTTCTATAACGACTACTTCCGTGGGAGCGGTCGTGACCGGTTGTTGCTCCACGGGTTGAGAAATCCGTCCAGGAAAACCAACCTTCCTGCGTTGGGAATCGCTGTCTTAACGACCTAGAGAACTGACTTCGTTTCCTAGTCTGGGTTTTCTGGGCATAGTTCTCGATGCCTCATCCGGCCTGATGCCATACCTGCCCTTAGTTATCTGGGCTATTGCTACTGCCTTGGCTAGCATTTTATCCCTAATGGCGTCACTATAAAAAAATCGATTAAGATTGGCCGAACCATTGGCGTCCCGGATTTCGCGAGCTGGGGTTTCCATACACCAGCTCGGTGGACCCGTTGAAGAGACACGGGGAGTGGGACCCCTGCTATTTGCCGTACGTCNAACACTCACCGTCTATCCATGTCCCTTCGGGCCTTAGGCTCTCTAATGAGAGGTTCTTCGTGATTTATAATTTGTTCAGTTCATTTTGCACAGAAAATGGCCACGGCCAATCGAGCGTCCAGAATTCCTTCGGTGGTATGTGGTCAAGTATGGCACCCACCACTGCGAAAAATAGNTTTCACCTCCAAGGCGAGAGATTGCTATACGTGAGCGTTCCTCTTCCAGACTACATCTCAATACGTAGCAGATCAAAAACAAAAACATGCAACCTGAGTGACGCGCTCTTAATACTCTCGTTTTCTCAAGTCGGTAGCTTGTCAGACCTCCACCTCAGGAACAAGTTCAAACCAGGGCCGTCTTGAATGCTAGCACCGTCTGCAGTTCTACTAGCTCCACAGGTAGTCTGTTCCAAATGTTGACTACCCTGTTGCTGAAGAATTGTGATCGAGCTATTAATGGAGACCGGGCCCTGGTTAGCTTCATTTCGTGCCCCCCTAGTAAGGGAATATAGCGCTTCCTGGAACAGGATTTCAGGTCTAATACCAATTAAACCATTCATTACCCTAAATGTTTCTATCATATCTCCCATGAGCCTTCTACCTTCTAAAGAGAATAGTCCCAGGTCCTGAAGCATTTGTTTGTAGCCTTTACCTCGCTGACACTCAACCATTCTCGTTACCAGTCGTTGAACGCGCTCTAAACAGGCGGCATCATTTTTGAAGAAGGGTGACCATGCCTGCATACAGTACTCGAGGTGCGGTCAAACTATAGCTTTGTACAGAGGCATGAACACCTCCTGTTTTCTGCAAGACAATGCTGACCTCAATCTGAAGAGTTCTCTGCGAGCCTTATTTGCGGCTGCTACGTACTGCTAGGCCCAGCGCAAATCGGATGGCTACGACAATACCCAGGTCCTTCACCTTACCAACCGGTTCTGTCGTGAACGGACCCTGGTCTTGCACTACTGTCAAGCTTTCGTCAGTCCGCNAACACCTCCTGTTTTCTGCAAGACAATGCTGACCTCAATCTGAAGAGTTCTCTGCGAGCCTTATTTGCGGCTGCTACGCACTGCTGGGTCCAGCGGAAATCGGAGGCTAAGACGATACCCAGGTTCTTAACCTTATGTGGTGATCAAGGCCAACTGCTGAGAATGACACAAATCTTGTGCTCTCTCTACGATCCAAAAGCCAATGCACCCCATTCCTATACAGAGATGTGACATTACAGTCCGACATAACGCACAAATTCATTGTTGACACAGGAAGCACGGAATCTATCATTTCTATTGCTGTGCTTCGGTCAATCTATCCCCAAGTATAAATCCATCCGACATCCGTGCGAATCCTTGGTGTTAATGGACATAAATTGCCATTGATTGGTGAAGTTTCATTGTTGGTACATTCGACAGAAAATTGCCTTTTCCCATTCGCTTCCTAATTGCCAAAAGCAGTCCATCTGTACTTGGCCTAACCGCCATTCGTGCATTGAACCATTTTGTCACTCCATACAAGCTATATGTCCAATATACATACCCATCTACAGCCATTGGTCGTGGAACGTTCCAACAATACAGGAGGTATGAACGTACAGCCGGCCAAACTAGAAGTTGATGGTAAACCCATTTTCCTGAAACGACGTGTAATCCTCTATGGCCAACGTGATGATGTACTGCAGACCCTTGAGAAAATGGAGCGCGATGGCATAATCACACGATTCACATCCAGTGCGTGGCAACTCCAACCGTTATCGCGATCGAAAGTGACGGCAAAACACCGCAAATCTGTGGCAATTACCGATTAACCCTCAACCCGCGGATGCGAAAGTGTGCGGCTATCACCATGGGACCGGAGGATTTCATTAAGGCATTGCACGGTAGCACATGCTTCTCGAAGATCGACTTGGCAGATGCATACCTCCAGATTCCGCCCCAAGCTGCCGGCAATTCACCACTATCAACACACCATGGGGACTATATCAAAACAACTTCCTACCGTTTGGTCTCCACACATCCTCAGGCATATTCCAGGCGGCGAATGATGAAGTTATCCGCGAACTCTATGGCGTGTTAGCGTACCAGGCCGACGTTATTGTGTTTGGTACAACAAAGGCCAAGCATGACGATAGACTTTACGAGACTTTACTGGAGCGGTTCGCCCAAAAGAACGTATCAATTCGCGCTTCCAAATGCATGTGCAGCTCACCAGAATTGGAATTTTCGGGCTTCGAAGTGGATGCAAAAGGCTACCGTCCTGATCCAAGTCGCTGCCCATTAACTGAACTCGAGTTACCAAGAGACCAAAAAAAACTCAGATCCATCATGGGATGTCTCCAATACTATTCGATGTAACAAAGATACTTTGCATAAATCATAAACTGAAGCGGAAGTTCACAGCATTCTATACACATCGTGAAGAAATCAGTGTTCAACCTGACGGAATACTATGCCGCAACGATCGACTGATCAACCTACCTCCGCTACGCAAGGCAGTGCTAGAAGACCTGCACAAAGGCCACTTATGGGTGGAGAAGATGAAGTCATTGGCTCGACAGATGTGCTGGTGGCCCGGTCTAGATGACGACATTGGTCGAACTGCTAAAAACTGCGAAGCATGCCTGCAAAAGCAGAAGTCAAAACCGACGAATTGGGTTCCATGGCCAGAAAGATGTATTTCACGGCAATGTGTGCACGCCGACTTCAGTAGACTACTCCTCGGCCATTATCACGCACTAGTACTTATCGATTCATGCTCAAAATGGCATGAAGTGATTCTAACCAGCACGCCAACCACATCGTTTGTGATGCGGGTACAACGAAAGTGTTTCAGTCGAGAGGGTGTGCCTAAAGTGTTGGTGACTGAAAATGGATCGCAATTCTGCGCGGCTGAGTTGAAGACGTGGCTGGACAGTGTTGGCTGCCGACATCCGTCCTGACGTGACCTTGACCGCGCATGCTTCGAACTTTGGAGTAAAGCGTTCCGCTGTAGAATTAGGCCGACAATAAGAGGAGGAAAAACTCGAGAGTGCAATTTCCTGTTGGAAAATTAGCGGAAGCGCAATTTGTACCGAGCCTTCAGCGCTGGAGATTGAAACTCTGAATCTGGGAGCCACAACTGAG